ATAATTAAATATAATGTTTACTATGCTCCAACAAGCACCCAAATAGTGTCTAGCACAAGAAGCTGTTGAACACCCATGTTGCCAGGCTATGGGGATATAACAGTTACAAAAGAACTAAGAGAACATTAATTATGCCTTCTCATCCAGAACACAGTAGTTCTTTCTACTTATCCAGAATCAGATCATTCTTGTCCTTTGGTTAAAATTATAGTTTCCTTCACACAGGGACTCTGCACATTTCTGTTTATTCCTAAATATTTTAGTACTTTTGATACTACCTAAATGGGTAGTAATGAATTTTCTAGAATGTTCAAATCGCTTATTGCTTGATTATACGTTGTACATTCTCTCTAGCCATCTTACTGAATGAATTCATTAATTCTGACATAAAACCTAAGAGGATTATTAGAAAACAATTACCATTTACAACTAAAAATTGTTTCTTTTCCTTTCCAATATTTGTATCTTTTTTCCTTCTTACTCTCTTTCCTATTTTACTTCTCTAACTAAATTCGCCTGGAAAGTACAGATGAGCAGGAACAGCAGGACCAGGCATGGGTGGCCCAAACCTTTAATACCAGCACTCAGGAGGCTGAGACAGGAGGATCGCAATGAGTAGCCTGGGATACATAGTGAGTTCAAGATCAGCCTGAACTACAAAGGGAGATCCTGCCTCAAAAAAAATAAATAAATAAAACAAAGTACCCCACAGCAACAGCAGTAGGCAACTTTTCCCCACTTAAACTTTAGAGCAGTTTGGCACAGTTACTTACTATTGATACCTGGGAGAGCTGTTTAGACACTCATTAAGGGAGTTTCTTTCTAATGCTAACTGGTTTTGCTTTACTGTTGCTGTTATTCTCTACAAGACTAGAATTTTCACATTTCTTTTTATAAAAGTTATAAATGTAACACAGAGCATGAACAGATTTTCTAAAATCTAGTTTGTCAGAATGTGCTATACTTTAATACTAGCGGATTTCATTAGCAAAATTAAGGACAATGTGAGAAAGTTTATAATTTTATTTTTATGTACTTTACATGGGTTAAATTACTAATAAGTGGCAGGAAAAGAAAGAGAATAAGAGAATAAGGTTATGATTACATCTACTAATATTAAAACTGTCATAATTATCCAAACAAAAGTAATGATGTTAAGTCAAACCTGCCACAACTCTAATACATTTATGTAAAAAAATTTGTAAATGTTTGTAATAAAGTTTTGTTTTGTTTTGTTTTTGGTACCGGGGATCAAACTCAGGGCCTTGCGCTTGTGAAGCAGGCTCAGTGCCACTGAGCTAAATCCCTGGTCCTGTACTAAAGTTTTTCAAAATAAAAGTTTATTCAGGTTAACTACATGGACCATTCTTGCTTATTATTACTTGTAAACAGACAGGAGAATATGAAAAAACTTTTTAAAGCTTAATACATTTAAAAAAATTAAATTAGCTGTATTTATTTCTTTGTCAAATGCTCTAAAATACCCTAAGTGACTGCCATAATTAGTCAAATGCCCATGGCAATCATGCATAAAAAAACCTTCAGTGCTATTTACTTCTCTACAAATGCAGAGTTCTCATCAAAATGAAGGTGCAACTGTGTTGTTCAGTATATAAACACCATGAAACTGTTCACGGAATCCATTTCCTAGCTGGTGAACGAGAGGGACAGGCTTGACATGACAAGCATGTCAGTGGCGGCCTCAGAACTGGAACCAGGACATCACTGTCACTGGGACAAGCGAAGAACTTGAAATGGCACCACATCCCCTCACCTCTTCTGCAAGACATGAACTCCAACAGCTGCAGTGTCCTTTCGCAGCTGCTCACTCTCAAATGCATTCAGTTCCCTTTGTCACAGGCACCCAGAATCTCAACATCCTCCCTTACCCGGTCTCACACAGCCACCATGCACAGCAGGGATCAACAGTCCACAGGTGTGAAAAATGAAGCAGAGAAAGTTCCAATCTACAGCCTATCAATCTTCCAGTCCATGCTCCCTGAAACCGTGTCTGCCCCTCTTTTCATAGTACTTAATTTATATACCAGCCCATATATTTTCATTAATTTATGTAAAGTGAAGCATGATACTACTTACCTTATAGAGTCATTGTAAGGATCAAATAAGATATGTAGGAGTACTAAGAACAGTTCCTGACATATAGAAAAGTACATCATCAATATTAGCTAGTATTTTTTATTCAAAATTGTAAATGTGTCCAGGGATTCTGTAGTCCAAAGCTTCTGAATACTTTTTCCATGAGACTGGGTCACAGCTCTTAGTGAAAATGGATTTAACCTGCTCCTCAAACCTGCTTCTTTTTTTGGCTTCCCAAGTCCTATTGTTATGTTGCAAATCCAACATGGATCCACAACCTTTCCTATCTTTGTTATAAATCCATTGCTAAGTCAGATCAATTCCAGATACATGAATGGTACCTGTTCATTCCTCTCTGTAAGCACAGTCACCAGGGAAATTAGGTTCACTAACATCTTTTTCAATTTTAATAGCCACTCAGACTAGTAATCTTGTTTTTTTCTATCTCCAATCCATTCTTCATAAAGCTGCTGAAGTGATCACCCTAAATAACAGTTTTTTACTATTAAATTAGCAACCAAGCCTTCAAAGGATTCAGCCTCAACAGCAGAATAAAACCCCAACTTCCTAGTAAGCTTTCAAAGTTTTCTGGATCCAAACTATCTTGCCAGCCCTCTAATCCACATTTCAAAAGCATTTGCTGTTCTCTCAAAATACTGAACTCACTGTTCCCAGAACCGATTTGTAGTCCCTTGGCATTCTCTCATCAACTTACCTTTGCACATATCCTACCCTTGGAGTTCTTCCATCTCTGGCCATAAAAATGCCAGTCCTCAAGTGCCATTTAGCACCCAAGAAATGAGGTTTCTATTCCCTTAATAGTCTCAGAGAATTGTACAGCTCAAAACATTTCCTACCTGGGTCTGAATATGCTAAAAGCAACAGTCAAGGTGACTGAATAGTTAGGCCTAGAAATTGAGTTTAACAATAAATACCACTCTTTCCCTAAACCATGTCTTCCCCTCTTTCATAGTATTTAATTGTACTGTCTCATATTGCAGTTATTCACATAATTATCTTTGTCTCACCTCAACTGTGTGAACCTTAAAGGAAAATTTATTTCAGAAAGAGAAATCTTGTATGAAACAGAACCTCGATGTTTGTTGAACCAAATTAAAAGTCCAACCAAAAACAGAGTAACTCAGCTGGGAGTGATGGCGCTTGCCTGTAATCCCAGCACTCAGAAGACAGAGGCAGGAGGAGAATTCAAGGCCAGCCTGTGCTTTTTAGTGAGTTCCAGGACAGCCTGAAATACATACCGAGACCTTATCTCAAAAAACAAAACAACCACAACCACAAAAACGGTAACTCAGCTTTAACTCGGCTTCATGGTAGGGCAGGAAATAAAAGACTGGCTCCACAGCAGCACCCCTCCTAGCACCCCCTAGTAAAAGTGATTTTCTTCATTTGACAGCCGTCATCCGCACAGGCATTTAAGAAGACTAAGTGAAGTAATGCATGTAAATCAACATAGTGCCTAACATGTACTTTTTTAGTCTTGCCCTCCCTCTTCTTCAATATCTACTATCCTGTCCTGCCATGTCAGTCTTCTGCCTTCAAATCTTCCATCTCTTCCCATCACCTCACTTACAGGACCAACTGTAAACAAACTGGTGTCTCCTGTGGATTTACTACCAAGTCCTATCTGAGACAAGTGAACCCCTCCAGGGTCAGCACGTGCTACCTCCCACCAACCGGGTCACATCAAACAGAATGTGGCTCCCTAAACACTTAAGGTGCCGCGGAGCCTTCTCATTTTATTGAGTTTTGCCCATAATACGGTAGTTTAAAAGCAAAGTTCCAAATCCAGATCTCGGTTCATGTTCCAACTCCACCACATCCTAGGTGTGTGATGTTGGGCAAATCACTTCTACTCCTAGGGCCTATTTCTGACCTGCAACATGGAAAGACTAATTATATCCTACCTAGTGCAGCTAGGATGAATTTAATAAATTAATGTGTTCAAAGTAATTGTTCCACCCTGCCTGACTTCTAGGATTGGCTTCATCACGTGAGCTGTAATTAGTAGTACTGTTTTTACTTCACTTCTTACAGCACTAACTACACTGTACTGCAACTGCCCCTTGATGTATCTCTCAGAGTATTAACTCTATGACAGCAGGGACTTCATCTCTTATTGCCCAGTTTACGTGCGCACAGTAATTATTCAACTCTCTCTTAACAAATGAACATTTTCAATGTGTCCTGATACCAAACACCGCGCCGCAACCGTCAGCTCACTGGCTCTCCCAGTCCCGCGGTAATGAGCTCTGTGCCGAGGATACTGCTGTACAGTGACTGTCGCTCTCTTGGAGCGTGAGCGCCTAGGAGGCGGGAGGCATACTCCCTTCACAGGGAGGTTTGAACGACAGAAAGTGGCCACGGTCGATGCTCAACTTAAAAAGTACCATTACTATTCACGGAAGGAGCGGCAATCGCTGCGGGGGTGGGAGGCCTAGGGACAGCGGGAGGAGACGGGGTGGAGTAAGGGTGCGATTCCCGAGCTGCGCAGGGGACGTTCGGGGTCAACCCGTGTGTCGGCTGGTGGCGGGGTTCCGGAGCCCAGGGTCCGCAGAGGCGAGGCAGTAGTAGGTCCAGGCCTGGGAAGCCGCAGCCCTTTTGCCCCTCCTGCCTATCCTCCAGACGTGCCTCACCTCATCCACTTTCAGCTCTTCCAGTTTGGGCAGCTCCACTATCCCCGGCATGACGGCGGCAGCCCAGACCCCAGCGAGGAGACCTCAGCTGTATTTCCCGGGTCTCCTTGAACTCCCCTTTCGACTGCCGAGGTACAACAGGCACCTGCGCATGCGCAGCCAGCGACACGCAGGCGCATTACTCTGCCCAACCCGGAGCGACAGACATGCGCAATGTCAAGAAGTTGTGCCGTTCTAAGGGGTGGGGCTTTGTCTTGACTCCGCCTCCCTTCTGGTTGTCATGGTGAGGCGATATACATTGAGGTTCCAGGACCCGAAGGCTGGAAACTGTTAGAAGCAGTCGCCATGGAGTACACAGGGAGCAAATTTATCGGGGAATATGTAGATAGGAGGTAAGGGTCTCTGATTCACTATGCTTTGAATATCCGGGACTGGGAAAAGAAGGCTAACTTTTGCCTCTGCGAAGCCTCTTGCTCTCAGAAACTTTCTCGAGTAACTTGCTCAGAGGATGCAAACCTAGTAAGCAATAGAGCTGAGATTCATTCATTCTGAATATAGGTGTGTATGTGTGTGTGTGTGTGTGTTTACTACCCGCCAGCTTTAGATATGCTAATTATAATAAAATGTCAAGATCCTTGCTCACGAGGAGAGGATAGTCTAGTTGGGAGTGTATTGCCACAAACAAATAAAAAGATAATGTCAGATGACAGTAAGTCCTATGAAAACATATGGACTGTAGCTACCCCGAGTTCATCAGACATACAGTCATCTCTGAGTATTTGAGGGGCACTAGTTCTAGGACTTCACATGGATTTCTTTCCCTATCAGCACTTTCATAAGTTGGATATTACTGGGTGGGGGGGGATTGCTTCTGTCCTGAGCACGAGCAGACTTTCTATTTCTGTCTTTTCTCTATTTACATAACCTTTATACTCACTTAGGGATTATAAATAATCTAGAGAGGGTTAACGTGTATAGGATAATGTGCAGTCAATTATATGCACATCCGTGCCATTTTAGACAAGGGACTTGAGCATGCACAAATCTGAGAGTCTTCCAATCAGTGTTTGAATCCAGAGTTGCAAAACTTGAAGGTACAGAGATCCAACTATACATGCCGTCTTCCTTCAAGGAGTTCACAATTTAAGAATTATTAGAATTATATATGCAAATCATTGTAATGGACTAATAGTAAAAACTATTCAGTTTAACTAATGTTGATTGTTCTCCAAGTACCAAGCCCTAAACTTGACTCTGGTCATAGTTCTTGCCCTCAAAAGGCTCACTCAAATATAGTGGGACAAGTTTACATGACACAGTTAACAATTCACTGTGGTCAGCACTGCAGTAGACAGAAGCAGAGGACACACAGAAATGGCCGCTCCTCCTTACCAACAACTCTGGATGAAAAGATGGAGTCTGTTGTATAGCTGGAAAGATTGAGCCTGAGTGGGGTGAAGGAGAACGCCAAACAAGCTAGGTTTGTTAGGTTTGTTGTTGTTGTTTGGTACTTGGGATCGAACTCAGGACGTTGCACTTGCGAGGCAGGTGCAGTGCCACTGAGCTAAATCCCCGGCCCTATTAGGGATATGAAATACTTCCATCATGGGATTGTGGAGATAGAAAAGAGATGAGGTGTGAGATTTTGATGGAATCCATGCTCTGTATTTACAGGTTGGTGGATTCACAGGGCATTCTGAGTCTGAAGGACAGTGAGATCTATGGTGAGGCTAGAGATGGGAGATAGATTCTGGAGAAAGTAGAATTATATATGGTATGCTATCTCCAATCCTTAATCAACTTTGCAAGGGAGATGGTGTTACCTTCCACTTTTGAAATAAGAAAAGGAAAGCCTAGAAGGCATGAGGCTGTTGAATGGTAGAGATGCTTGGTGGGTACTCCTTATCACAGTGCTGTGAGATAGTTCACGCTGCTTTCAAATAAAGGAACTGGGATTAGGAGTAGAGAAATGTTACCTGCCACCATTATTGATTCACATCTAGGAAGCAATGGAGTCAGAATTTGAACTCAGTTCTGTATCCAAACCATATTATTTATTCCCACAAGGCCTGTTACAGTGGAGGTGGTAGAGTTTTGGCAGGTAGAGATGAAAGATTGGGCATATTAGACACAAAAATTTGAGAATCTAGACTTCTTTTCAATGAGTAATATATTGCAGCAGCCGTGTCCATACTTTTGTCCTTGCAATCTGTGTCTTGCTTGGTTTTTTTTTTTTTTTTTTTTTTTTTTTTTTTTT